TGTAGTGGCGTGAACATGGCTCACTGTAACCTCTACTTCCTAGGCTCTGGCAGTCTTCCCACCTCAACTTCCCAAGTAGCTGGGACCAAAGACATTCTCCACCACACCCAGCTAATTTTTCTTTTTCTTTTTCTTTTTTGTAGAGACAAGGTCTCGCTTTGTTGCCTAGCCTGGTTTCAAACTCCTGGGCTCAAGTAATCCTCCCATCTCTGCCTCCCAAAGTGCTGGGATTATAGGTATAAGTCACTGCACCCAGCCTAAAATTATCTTTTTAAGGTGAAGGAAAAATCAAGACTATCAGACAAATAAAAACTGAAGGAATTCATTACCAGCAGATCTGCAATTCAAATGTTAAAAGAAGTTCTTCAGAAAGAAGGAATATATGATAGGTCAGAAACTTATATCTACAAAAGAAAGGAAGTGCATCGGAGAAGGAATAAGTGAAGATAAAATAAGACCTTTTCTTTTTCTTATTCTTAGTTGATATAAAAAGTTTAAAATAATAGTAGTGGCTGTACTAGATGATTATAGAACATGAATAAGTGATATGAAGGACAGCAATGCCATAAGGGATGGGAAGAGAGAATTGGGAATACTCTATTATTTATTAAAATTGATCCTTTTCTGGAAATGATAATCAAGAGTATCCTGTCTACCAGTTTTGTGTGATGACCCCATACAGTGAAACAATACTGGGCTATAAAACTTTAATATCTATGTCTTCAAAGATAAGTGATTTGGTAACACCCCCTCACACACAACTACACATTTATAGAGAACTAAAGAAGAGATATGGTTACATGAGGGGAAGGATTGTAGAAGTAAAATGGAAGGAAATTTACAATGACAAATCCATAAAATAAGTAAAAAAGACACAAAAGCAAGAGAATAAATAGAAATTACTAAGAGAGTGATTAAAAATTGACAAGCAAAAAGTTCAAGAGCATAAGAATGTGTAATGTATGTGTTATTTGTGGGGGGGTATGCATATACAGTAAACTCCCACATGATAGTAGGTTACTCTGAATATTTATTTTTATTATTCAAAAAGGATTTATGGAATATCTACCAAGTATAAGCTATAATCCTAGACTCATTAAGAAGTATGAAATACATTCATTGTCCTTAAAAAGTATATAAGTTATTTGGAGAGAGAAAACAAGAAAAAATGAGTAATAAGCTAAGCTGCTAATGAAAGATTTATCAAAAGACTAAGAGCTATCTAAAAGAAGATTGACTTCACTATCCCCTGGCCCTTTCTTCTATAAGACTTAGGTGTCAAGAGTAGAGTCTTATGAAAGAACTAGGATTCCATATCCTACAAGACTTCCTAGAAATTTAATACCTTTGACCTTGTTTGCCTGAATAACTGTGTGACACTTGGCTAGGTGCTATGAATATGAAAAATTCTGGATGAGGTTACTGTCATCAAGAACTTTATATATTAGGAGTTAAACATACATATTTTTAAAAATCTTTGTAAAGAGTAATTACAAAGCTGTAAGTGTCAAATTAGTGGCAATAATAAGTGCAGTAGGAGTTCAAAGAAGGAAGAGACAATTATGAACTGGATTGATCAGGTACTTTCATGAAGGAAGCCTTTATTTGAAGGATTGATACATACAAACCAGAAGAAGTAAACAAGAAGAAATGTAGATGTGACATCAGCAAAGTCAAAATAATGGAAAATGTCACTTTAGTATGAGAATACACAAAAAAATAATTTGACAAGAAAATTCCTGCTCTGGTTTTTAAAATCTGTACTAGACACAAAAGCTATAATATCTTTGAATATTTGTTTTTATTTTCTTAACTTTATTTACAAAAAAACTTTTATCCTAGACAGATGTTCCCATTGATTTCACTTAGTTGCTCTAGTATTTTTGCATAACTTGACAAATGACCTGGAATTTCATATTTTTTACACAAACATTTATTATTTTTACATATAATTTAGTGAACAGTTTACTAACCATTATAATACATTTTACTTATTATGTAAATTTTATGCGCATTTTACTTATTTTGTATAGTCACAAAACCCAGTAGTAGAGAAGATGAATCTTTCTTGGTTTGTTTCAAGGTTTTATATTTTAAAGATACCAAAAACAATCTAAAATATGCCTGGTTGCCCATGTTTTAAAATACACTTGGAAGGGGAGGGAGATACACTTGGAAGGAAGGAAGGAAGCGGGGAGAGAGAAATGAAAGAGAGAGAAAAAAAAGGAAAAAGAAAGAAAAGAGGGAAGAAAGAAAGAGATGAGAGGGTTGCCTGAGCCCATGAGTTCAAGACCAGCCTGGGCAACATGGCGATACCGCGTCTCTACAATAAATCAAAAAAATTAGCCGGGCATGGTAGCGTGCACCTGTAGTTATGGCTACTGAAGGCTGAAGCGGAAGGATCGCCTGAGCCCAGCAGGTCGAGGCTGCGGTGGCTGGGAGTGAGCCACTGCACTCCAGCCTGGGCGATGGAGTGAGACTCCAACTCAGAAAAAAAAAAAAGAAATCTCTTTTTTTTCTGCAGTATAGTGGCACATTCACAGCCACCCCAGTGTTGACCCGCTGGGCTCAGGCGATCCTTCCACCTCAGCCTTCCAAGTAGCCAGAACTACAGGCATGAGCTATCACACCCGGCTAATTTTTTTATTTATTGTAGAGATGAGGTCTCGCCAAGTTGCCCAAGCTGTTCTTGAACCCATGGGCTCAGGCAATCCCCTCACCTCAGGGTAGTGCTGTAGATCTCTTTTTAATGAACACAGTCTTGAGGACTTCCAGTTTCCCATCCAATATGTAAAGAGCTTGGAAGTCACACTCCAGTTCACTCATACACAAAGATGAATAAACTGAAAATCTATAACTTTTCTTAGATCCCTCAGAGAATGAAGACATAGAGCAAACTGCAGCCCCCAAAACTAGAAAGACATGCAAATACAGAGACTCACAGTTTGCTGAGAACTGAAGCCACAGCTGGAACCAGTAACTGGTAGGAACACTTCAAGGTTGATTGACTAATTGCTGGAGACTGAGCTTGAGACTAGTTTAAGAGATTAAAAACTCCTAGAAACCCAGCCATAGGTGACCACACACTTTCATGAGCTTTACTCCAACAGCGCCACCACATTCTCAGGGTCAAGTTCTGAGAAAAAATTCTCTTGTGCTTCTGTGTGTGGGGGAAGGGGAGTAAACAGTTTAAAAATACTACTCAGTGCTACTATTCTCCTTAACAAAGTCCTGCCTCAAGGGAAACTTTTACCAAAACCTAACCAATGTGGGTTTACCAGAGTCTAATTAACATGAGAGAAGTGAAATACCCAACTCCAATCCCCTATAGCTTTCCTATGTTACCTAAGGGGGCAAGTGGAGGGACTCGGGTGGGGAAGACAAGACTAAGACCTAATTATAGGACTGCAGAATACTTACCCTCCCCTCCATACTTTAACATCACATTAATCAGAGTACTGTATGACAACAGAGTTTGTAGTTGAGCAAGGCTCAGGCTCTATATTAAAAAGGAGTCTCTAGGGAATTCAAGAGGAAACTAAAAGAAGCACTAGTGGACATTTTAGCCTCTGACACCTAAAGCTCTAGCAACCAGTAAGTGCAGCTTAACTCATAGTTCATTTTACTCAATACATCATGTAGGCCAGGCATGGTGGCTCACATCTGTAATCCCAGCACTTTGGGAGGTGGAAGCGAGAGGATTGTCTGAGCCCAGGGGTCCGAGACCAGCTTGGGCAACTTGGCAAGACCTCGTCTCTACAATAAATAAAGAAATTAGCCAGGCGTGGTGGTGTATGCCTGTATTTCCAGCTACTTGAAAGGCTGAAGCAGAAGCATCCCCTGAACCCAGCAGGTAGAGGCTGCAATGGCGGTGAGCATGCCACTGCACTTCAGCCTGGGCAACAAAGTGAGACTCTGACAAAAAAAAACAAAAAAAAATCATATATAGCTTTCAACAAAAAATTACAAGAATTTTGGTAATGGTGAAAGACCAAACAAAAAAGCATGTAGTCCGAATAGATAAAAGCAAGTATCACATAACAAAACAAAACACAGCAAAAAGTGCAGGGGGAAAAGCAAGTATCAGAGACCAGACTCAGTTATGGCAGAGACTTTCAAAGACTGGGAATTTACAATAACTGTGATTAATATGCTAAAAGCAGACGTGGGATTAAAGGTAGTCAATATCTGTCTGGGGATGGTGAGGGGGGACACACCTCATCAACAAGGGTACCTGCACAATGCATATTTGTATACCTAACCCTTAGCTGTACCAAAATTTTAAAATAAAATAAATGTGCTAAAAGCTCTAATGGAAAAAGAAATTCTAGATATCTAAAACACTAATAGAAATTAAGAATACCTGTGATGGGCTCATCAGTAACTCAGATGTGGCCAAGGAAAGAATCAGTGGCCTTGAAGACATGTCAATAGAAACTTCCCAAACTGAAAAGCAAAGAGAAGAAATATTAAAATTTCTTAATTCAGTTTTACTTTAATGAACATACAGGTATTAAATGGCACACACTAATGGCCCCCAATAGTTCATGCCTCCCCTGTATTCATACCGTAATTTCTTCCCACATTGACTCTGGCCAAGGAGACATCAGCAAGCATCACCTTGATAAACCGTTATACACTCTGGGACTTGCCCTTTTGGAATGCTGCTCTGAGATGGCATGTGAAGATTAGGCTTAGTCTCCTTGAGGATGAAAGACAGTAAAGAGAGAGACTCATGCAGTCATCCCACCTGAACTCCACACCCAGCTAACCCACCAGCTGAATGTAGCCACATGAGTGAACTCACTCAAAACCATAAAAATTGCTCAGGCAACCCACTGAATCATAAGAAATAAAATAGTTATGGCTATAAGCCACTAACTTTGGGGTTAATTTGTTATGCAACAGTAAATAATTGCAAGAAATAATGTAGTGAGCCAAATATGAAAGGTAGAAGAGTGACACTGATAAAACAAAACATATGTTTGGGCAGTCCAGGCATGTGTGAAAAAGAAAGGGACAGAAATGTAGAGAAGCAGGTAAGAACTTAAGACTTTAAAGGAATGTGCTTACTGACAGGCACAACTTTAATCATGTCCTCTAGAAAGAAAGTGCACAGGAAAGAAATGGCTTTGCCAAAGGAAAAATTATAAGGTCCTTTTGTGCCAAACGTTCCTTAAGTGTCTGACCCCTAAATAAACTTTCTTTCCTAATCTAAAAAGATTTTTTTTTAAGGTACTTTTGTGTTTTATGTCTGTTGATAGCCAGTGATTGCCTCCAGGTCCCTCCAAGTTGACTAACATGTAACAGCTTCCTAGTCTAATGAACATTTATTTTGAAATCGCATTTCTGTTTCAGTAAAAATAACCTATCTTGCGATTTGAGACTCAAAAAGTCTCTTCTCGCCTTTGGTTTGTAAAACAGCTATGCATCTTTTTTCCCTGTCAGAGAACTAAGCAGCTTTACTCCCTAGTGGTTTTTTGTTGTTGTTGTTGTTGCCACTGAAAAAGGCCTCTTAGAGCAAAATGACCATTGGTTTGCCTCATAGAAAGGTACAACTTTCCAACAGGGGAAATAAATTGCATCAAGGCGTAAGCCAGGCTTTCCCATTTAGCTCATTTATACAACATTATCCACTTTGGAAACCAGAGGTTTTTGTTTTTGTTTTTTAATCCAGAGAATGACAGCTGAAACATAATTGCACATGACCTCAGAAAAGTTTACCTCCCTAATGCAACTGAAAAGGAACACTGACTACTAAACTGGAATTCCACAAGCAACAACACCTAATGCAGTTTGGTTTTATGGGAGCTGTGGATTTGCTTTTTTGTTCCTCTTCGTGTTGTTTTTCACATGCATTTACAGTGACTTTTTACCATTCCTTCATTAGAGGTTTGTGTTTATTAAGCAATAGAAAATCCATTATCAAAATCAAAGCATTCAGTTCCTCAAAAAATTAAACATAGTTATATGACTTATAATTCCTCTCCTAGATATATTCTCAAGATAAGTGAAAACGTATGTCCACATAAAAACTTGTACATAAATGTTCATGGCAACATTACTTATAATTTCCATTTGCCAAAAGAATGGAAATAAACCAAATGTCTATCAACCAATGTATGGTTAAACCAAATGTGGTATAATCATACATCCATACATTGGAATATTATTTAGTCATGAAATATGCAACAATATGGATGAACCATATAAAACATGATCCTAAGTGAATAAAGACATATGCAAAAGGCCACATATTATACAATTTAATTTATATGAAAGGTCCAGAATAGGCAAATTCTTAGAGATAGAAAAGAGATTAGTGGTTAGCAAGGGTTGAAGGGAAGAAGAAATGATAAGTAACTGCTAGTGGTTATGGGGTTTGTTTTTGTGGTGATGAAAATATGTGACAGTCCATAATGTTGTGAATATACTAAAAACACTGAATTATATGTACACTTCAAACTGATGGGTTTTATGGTATGTGAATTATATATCATTTTAACAAAAAAGAAAAAAAATATTCACACTCTAAATTTATACCTGGGAAACAAGTGAGCAGATATAGATTGAACCAGGATTCCAGGCTTATTTGTTTATTTCAAAAAACAAAGTAGAAAAACTTCCATTAAAAACTGCTATTGGAGCTGGGCTCGGTGGTTCAGCCTGTAATCCCGTGCCTTTGGGAGACTGAGGTGAGTGGATTGCCTGAGCCCGCGGGTTCGAGACCCGCCTGGGCAGCAAGACCTCATCTCTACAATAAATCAAAAAATCAACTGGGCATGATAGCGCATGCCTGTAATTCCGGCTACTTGGAAGGCTGAGGCGGGAAGGATCGCCGGAGCCCAGCAAGTCAAGGCTGCGGTGGCCGGGAGTGGCCACTGCACTCCAGTCTGGGCGACAGAGTGAGACTCCAACTCAAAAAAAAAAAAAAAAAAACTGTTATTGTTGGGCAACCCCTTCGGGTGCCCTCCCACTATGGGAGCGTTTCTGCTCTCTCAATAAATCCTGCTTTTTAAAAAAAACTGTTTATTGTTATACTATTTTTTAGGAACTAATAACATGTTAAAATTTAACCTAAGAAAGCCTGAAAATATGAAGATTGGTTATATAATATTCAGAATAGCTAGCATTTGTAGTTTATAAAGCACTTTCACATACATTAAAAGTTAAGTACTATGTTTTAATTGTCTCACCAAATCTATGCAGTAGGTGATATTGTTGAGTATTGTAATTCTAATTTTACAGAGTAAGAAATATTCTAATATATTTTTGCTGTTGGATCCTTAAGCATCTCCAGGTCAAGGTTTCTCTCTTTTTCATCTTTGTGTAAAAGGCATACAGCGTACCTTTAATAAATATTTAGGCAAACATTTAAATTAACAAACAAAGACTCAGGGGAGGGCAAGGGACTACTAAAGATCAAACAAAGCAGTGTTAGAATATGGACGTTTGGCATTCAGACCCTGTGTGTTTTCCGTAATACCACAGTCACAAGTCTCCTGTGTTCTTTGGACGTTTGTTCAAGCCTCATTGTAAGACCTCAAGGAAAACGAAAGTAAACTGTACAAATTATACTGTTATTTGCTACCAAACCTTCAGTTTAGTGCATCAGACATCTACTAAGTGCCCGTCACCACACCTTATGCCCTAGGAAGAGAGCAGGAATCTGAATAACTAGGCTGGAATACGTAAGCACCTCTTTTCATGAAGCTACTTGCAGTGAAGTTCTATCACTGCAAAAAAAAATGTGATATTGTTCTATCACATATTTTATTACTTTATCCTTATTATTTATACAGATGAAAATTCCTCATATTTTAAAACCTTGCACAGAAAGAGAACTCAGTGTTCTTTTGACCCAGAGAGAAACATATAAACTTTTAACACATATGTCCACACACAAAGAAAGGTAAAATTGCCTTTTTTCCTTTAGCTAGTAAATTTTCCTATTCTTCCTGCTTCTTATGTAAGCACACATACACTATTTAAGTTTTATTTTTGACAAATGGGTGGCAGAATTAGTTATAGGCTTCATGTCTAGTATTTGTAGACAGTGAAGTTGGTTTTAATATCTTGCCTAGAAACAGAGTGAATGGAAATATTTACAATGTAATTTATTTCCTATACTGCCTTGTTACTTAATTTAGAATCTTAAATTACAACATAACATGTCAGTATACTTTAAAATAACATTACATGTCAGTATTCTCCTGGAGTGAGAATGAATCAACCTTTAAAACCTGTATATTTTTAAGCTGCATAAAAGGGAGTTAGACACGTAGTTATCTTTGGAAGAGTATTCCAGGTAAAGAAGAAAGCCAGTGCAAAGACCCTGAGGTATAAGCACTCCTGGAATTTTCAAGGAACAGTGAAGAGGCCAGGATGGTGGAGCAGAATGAAAGAGAAGGGTTAGAGAGTAGAAGATGAAGTCAGAGTTAGAAAGGAGGCAAAGGGTATCAATGAGGTGGGACACAAGACAAACTTTTTGATTCTGAGTGAAGCAGCAGACAGTAGGAAGAACAACAGTTATAGCAAGGATCTCAACCAGAAGGTCATTAACATAATGCAATTATATAATAATAATAATTCAGGCACGAGATGGTGGTGACTTGGACCAACCCAGTAGCTGTGGAGATAGAAATAAGTATTTGAATTATTTTAAATTGTGTATCTATTTTCAGTTTTTTGGGAGACTGAATATAGGATATGAGAAAAAGAGATACTAGAGGGTTAGTAGCATGACCAAGTGGAAAGATGAAGTTGCCATAACTGAGATGGAGAAGGGGTTAAGTTTTGAATATATTAAGTTAGTACTGTCTTTTAGACATAGAAATGTTGGTGCTTAGCATACAGTTGTATATGAGAGCCTAGCCAGGGTTTGGAAATCTAGACTGGAGTTATAAATTTGAAAGTGTTAGGAACTAACCTAAATCAGTTTGGCTTTAGATAACTGTTAGTTTCTTGTGGAGATAACTATAATCATCAAGGAATCTGTAGTCACCAAGGATCCGTAGCTAGTCTCCTTACTGCTAATAAACATGAAAAAAAGTCTCAAAGCAAATTTTGTACAAATAAAGACATTAACTAAATAAACATTCATTAGCAAGCAGATTCAGAACTATTCGTATGTGTTTTACATGCTTGCTGAGTATTTAGGTAATCTAACCACTATGCATGAGTGGTTCACTTAAGGAAGATAAGACTGTTTATCAGTGAAATTAGAAAATACTTTGAGATAAATAAAAACAAACATACCAGAACTTATGAGATGAAACAAAAGTAGTACTCAAAGGAAATTTCATGTCTGTAAATGCCATGTTAGAAAACAAGAAAGATTTCATATCAGCAACCTAACTTGACACCATAAGAACCTTGAAAAAGAAGACCAACCTAAACTCACAGCCATCAGAAGGAGGGAAATAATAAAGATTTCAGCAAAGGTAAATGAAATAGAGAAGGGAAAAACTATAGAATGACAGAAATCAAAAGTTGGTTCTTTGTAAAGGTCAACAAAACCAGCAATCCTTCAGCTATACTGAAGAAGAAAAAAAGAGAGAAGAAGCAAGTAACTAATCAGAAATGAACATGATGACTTTACTGCTGACCTTACAGAAATGAAAAAGATTATAAGAGAATACTGTGAACAGTTGTACATCAACCAATCAGATAATCTAGGTGAAATGGATAAGTTCCTAAAATTACACATAATACCAAAACTGACTCAAAAAGAAATAGATGATCTCAACAAGCCTGTGAAAAGTAAAGAAATTGAATCATTAATTTTAAAACTTCCCAAAAAAGAAAAATCAAAGAAGGCTTCATTGGTAAATTCTACCAACCATTTAAAGAAGAATGAGCATCCATCCAACTCAAACTCTTAAAAAAAAAATAGAAGCAGGAATACTTTCTAACATATTCTATGAGATGAGCATTCCATGGAGAAAGAATAGTCTCTTCAACAAATCACACTGGGACATCTGTGTTAACAACATGCAACAGAATGAAGTTGGATGCCATTTTAAAAATTTAACTCAAA